ACAAAGTCTCACTAGCCACATATTAAATTATATTTTGCACACAGACAGCAATAAAAACACTTTTTAGCGTCTCTGGGGAAAGCTGAAACCACCTATAATCAGCTGTTTATTGCTGTGTGTGTTCCTGTTAAACTAGGATTAAACCTACATTGGTGGGGGTGAGCTTTCCAACAAATTTTGCAAGTATGCACAGCAGCCGCAATGTACACTGCATGATGCAGAACACAAAAAAAATGAATAGGAGTCAGAGAGACCGCATGTCTATTCTGTCAATAAAAAAAAAACTCTACCTTCTAAGTTAGGATAAATCTTTCAAACATGGCCTCAGACAGTAAAAGGCTGACAGAAGTTCAGACCATTTTAACTGAAAAATGTAAAAAAAATTATTAGAGTTACACTAACTAAAGAAGCAGATCTGCATTTTGGTGATCCAAATTCCTGTTGTGATTTTGAAGTATGTTCCTGTTGCCCAAAAGGGGAGGTCTCGCACACATTTTCCCAAAGAGACGGGAAAACATACGTCTGCCAGGAAACAATACAATATAAATAAATATACCCATTTGTCCAAGATCTACAGGTATGATTAGAAACATTGAGGCCAATTTACTGAAGAAGTTTCTTCATTCAACATATTGAAGTGAAGATTCACTACAATTATCCAATCATGTGAAAAGAAAATTCCAGTTTATTTTTTATTTCCTCTGCACATGATTGGAAATTCAATGTAAATACAGCTATAATTTATTGAAGATGCTAAACTCATTTAGTAAAATCAGAAAGCCCTTGATTATCTAAAAAGAAAAAAAACTGTGGCTAGAACCTCCGCAGTGAAAAAAGAACCATTCAACTGAATGGATGTCAGGAAAGCTCTTATTTTACCTCCTTAGAAGTAAAAAAAATAATAAGCAGTCAACCAACGTCCATGTCGATGACCATAAACATATAGTTTTAAAATAACTTGAGTTGCAGCATCTAGAACACTTTAGCCTTTGCCTCTCTTATTAATATCTACTACATTGATGACAAATTGCTTACTTTGTACCTTAAACTGATCAAATACAACACATCCAACTGGACAGTGGGGATGCCAAGTTAAGCATGTGCTGGGTGACAGACGCGTTTTGCTGTTGTTCCATAAATTAGCCTCAGGCCAATTAATTCAATCACATAAGACCTTTTCTCAATTTTCTTTCCTAATGGCCAAGTTGCTAATGAGCATGGAACAAAAATATAGTTTTCTACAGCCTATATTTCTATCCTCTACATATACTTTTTAAATGCTTTACCTTGAACAATAGACCCGATAAGAGCGTACAACAGCAATGTCCCCATTGTTAATAATCACACTATATAATAGAATTAAGTCTGCGCTTTATTCAGAAGAGCACATTACATAATGATATCATTATATGAAAACCAGAAAGGCAGATTAGTTGAGAGATCAGAAATATTATACTGCTCATTTAAACAAGTTTTGAAGGAATACCTTTCTTTCCATTTTACAAAACACCATATCCTAAAGATTAGCAGGAGAATTAACTGCACATGCTGCTAAACACTTGGTCTTCCCCTACACAGTATGGATTTTTCTCTCCTGTATAAAATGTCTGCAAAACCTCTCACAACAGATTTTAAAACTAATCTTTTCGAGTTAATCCACATAGTGTTGGAGATTTGATTTGTATCCGAACTCAATCTCTGCCAGAGGTATGCTTCTTTGTCATTTCTTACCATTTTATTCAGTCTTACAAAGTAGAGAAAACTTTTCCTGCCATGTTCTTGTTTTTAGAAATCCGATACTGCACAGCTAATTTATGACACCCCGATGTCACATTAAACTATAGATGGATGTAAACTAATATGTGCTTGGTCAAAAATAAGGGACATTAATGGTGATTGTTTTTTCCCTCATACAATTCAGGCATTTAATAATAGCTATATCCCAAGTCATCACAAGCAACAGCTTCCTTTCTTCTTTACCAAAAATGGCTATTCAAGTTCAGAAAAACAAAAGGAAACCTATTCAAGGCCTTCAAAATAATAATGTGATTATAATCCAGAAGTGATATTAAAGAGAAAGCATTGTTGCATTACGCTGTTGAGCTAACAATATAAGTAAACTGTTAAAACATTCATGAAATCAATGGCCTACACTGCAGATTAGCATGCAAACTCACCCACATTCTGATGCTTTGACAATGAAGAGCAATCGCACAAATGAGCCAATCCCTTAATCTCCTCCAGTCAGTAAGCTTCCAGTGTTAAAAAGCAGTGGTCAAGGCAGGAGAGCTTACTGGCTAATAGTTCTCCCCTATGTTTTGTTCTGCTGTGCAGAGGATTACAGAAAGGTGGTATGATGATGATACGGTAAACTCCCAGTTATGCTTCAGCCATGGGGATCGATAGGGGCCAGATAACAGTAACTCTCAAGCAACCATTCCCCTAAATAAATGTAGTTGCTAATTAAATTTTTTTAGTGTGCACCAAGCAATGGACAATTTTTTATTGTGCCTCAAGCCACCGGCAAAAAGAAATAAAAAAACATTGGAGGACATTGATGCCGGCTGCTTAAATGCCGGAAAATGGGGACTTTACTGTATATATGTCTATTTCGCACTAGGGGGAATTTATGAACATGCTAGAGACAATTTTTGTGTGGCAAAGACTAAAATGTCATGCTAACTGCAAAGTTTTAGCTCTGTTTTGGGCCTTTTTCAAAGTATTCTTGCAACAAATTTAAGGTTTGTCGGTAGATAACTGCCGCGCTCATTACCGAATGCCCCTTGTGCTGAAAGGTGGGTGCTGAAGTGACTGTGATGGCGCCACGCATAACACTGTACAGCAGAAAAGTCACCAGCACAACAATGGATGATGTCCAAAATAAAGCGTTGTTTGTTCACGCATATTGTCACATCAAAAATGCAAAATTTCAGAGCCATGCAGAGTCCCATTCATCAGGCTTAACACGTTAACATGTTAAGCCTGAAGGGGACCCTCCGTGGACCTGAAACATTGCATTTTTGATGTGACAATATGCAAGAACAAACAACGCTTCATTTTGGAGATCATCCGTTGGTGTGCTGGTGACATTTCTGATGTACAATATTCAGATTTGTGACTCACTACATAAGTTTTGCTACATAATTTCTCAACTGCACAGTAATTGCGCCCAACATTTGCAACATTAAAAACACTCCAAAGTGTTACACATTCTAGAAGTTCTCCTGAGCATTTCTTAAAGTATCTCAAAGATAACTCTGCTTCATACACTCAAGTCAGCTAAGCACTTCAGGGCTATACAGCTGTCATCCAGGAGGTTTCCTGCAAGCTTTCAACAGTTTTACAGTTTATGCATATATTTTTATGAAACATAATATTTTATGCAACAAACTAGGAAAATAAATCTGTCGCTATGTACAATAGAAATCAGGGATGCAACAGTTTAAAAGATGCTGATGGTGCGACCAAACTGATAAATTCCCCCCACTGTGTATCCTACGTAAAAGCTTTTGCCTTTTAAACAATACACATTAATAAAAGCATCTATCATGGTGGTAATTAAGACTAAACTACACAATGTTTTCCCTGTAAGAAAATCAGTTTTTAGAGTCAAGACTAGACTACAATGCTTTCTTTGTAAGATCAGTGAGGAGAAATGCTTACTTGAAACACAGAACAAGAAGTCTTTATCAAGCCTGCAAAGCAAATATCATGTATACATAGCCTTCCCCAAAGCTGAAGATACACTTGTAGATTTTCATACAAATGTTCATATGCATCTTGTTATCTCTCGTCTTGACTATTGCAACTCCCTCCTCATTGGCTTACCTCTCTCTACACAGGCTATCCTCCCTTCAGTCTATCATGAATGCTGCTACTACTAGACTCATTCACCTAACCAACCGTTCTGTGTCTGCAACCCCCCTCTGCCGATCCCTGCACTGGCTTCCAATTGCCCAAAGGATAAAATTTGAAATATTAACGACTAACAAAGCCATCCACAACTCTGCTATATCTCCAACCTCGTCTCAAAGTATCACCCTAACCGTCCCCTCCGCTCTTCCAATGCCCTCCTGCTTTCCAGCTCCCTCGTTAACTCCTCCCATGCGCACCTCCAGGACTTATCTAGAGTCTCGTCCATCCTCTGGAACTCTTTAACCCAACCTTTCTGATTATCTCCCACTCTGACTGCCTTTAGGCGATCCCTTAAGACTCATCTCTACAGGGAAGCCTATCCCATCTCAACCTAACCACTCAACCATCACGTTCTAAAACAATTCATCCCCAGACAGCTACCTCCTTATGGATCACTTGCCCTTCCCTTTTAGATTGTAGGCCCTCCTTACCATCTTCTCTTGTATTTTATTGCGATTGTAATAACTTCTTTATATTGTAAAGCGCTGCGCAAACTGTTGGCGCTATATAAATCCTGTATAATAATAATATGCAAAAATCTCATTAGAACATTAGATAATGCCATTGGAAGCTTGCCGTTCAAAAGTTTGTTCGATTTAAACATTCAATTTTGGAATGAATTAATGAGATTCCCAATGGAAAACCACAACCAATTTTCTACCTTGCTCCTTTGACAGTCGCTCTGACCTTATTAACCATTCGAAAATGTACAACATTTGAAAAACTAACTTTCTAACAAAAGCATTTGAATAGAAAATACTAGAGCTCTTATTGATTTGAAGCTTCTTTTTCCTAACGCAAACAATGTTTCATTACCAGAGACAGGATGGTTGCATCTGGTGCAAAATTACTCTTCCCTCTAAAAACAACAACAATAATAATTACATTCACTTCACAAATAGTGATGAGGTTTACATATGCAGAAACTGAATTGGAACCTGAAATCGCTAGTCTATTGCAATTGTGTTAATACGGGAACAGCTGTTTCCTCATTTGTTAAGCTATCACATGTTAACACAAACTGTCTGTTACCTTAAAAATGTTTTTTAAAAAATAAAATGGAGTAGAAAGATAAATTTACTTACAGCCAGAGCTTTAGATAATCCTGTTCTGAAGTCATTAAGGATGAGGGTGACAATTTCGTTTTGTGGAATATATGCAAATCCTTGTGAGAGGAACACTTTTCTTGGTCGCACTAAATCCAGAGCATCCTGGAATCGAACCTTGAGACAATAGCAAAACAAGTGTTGATTTTTTGGAAAATGCCTTGTGTAGCCTCTCTTTTGTGGCTAGAAGTGTAGATCTAGAGAGCACCTTTTTTTTTTTACCAACCAGGACCCAGGATGGTAATGTTGCATTATGAGAGGGGAGATAAAGACTAAACCAGTGTGCAGCACTACTAGGCAAGGACCTGACCCTGCAAATTAAAAGGAGTAAACACATTTATTTACTGTAAAATATCGTTCACACTTTAATTCTTACCATCAAATATACACAGTAAGAATATTTTAAAGCAGTAAACACAAAATTAGATTATTCACAACAAGCTAAGATAAATATATCGAACTCTATTTTTTTCCCCCCCTCGATGTATGTACATGATGGTTAATCAAAAAGTAATGCATCCATGCCTGTTTTTGAGATCCCACTAATGTATGCTTTTCTTTTCTACACTGAATGATTAGAACCATGTTTCTATGGCTAAAACAATGAGCTGTAATAGAATTTCTGGAAAAAAAGAGGGTTGTGCACCTAAGGAAATCTATAATTGGCTAAAAATGTTTATGCTGCAGTGGACATTAGCAATGTGTGAGTGAAGAAGTTTCAACGAGAAATTGAAATTCCACTACAGTGTGCCCATAAACAAGTGTAAAAGAAAAGCATACATTAGTGGGGTAAAACCTCTATAACAGGGGTGCCCACTAGGTCGATCGCGATCTACCAGTCGATCGCAAAGCTAACGCTGGTAGACCGCGATGTTCTGAGCTCCCTCCAGCAGTTCTAGTGCAGCTGAATGTATGCTGCACTTCCCCACATGACCACATGGTGGCGACGAGATCGTGCACAGTGCTGTAATCCTCGGGGCTGATAGAACCAGGAAGTGTCTCCCAGATACAGCAGCAGGAAGCAGGAGAAGCTGAGCAGGCTGCATTCGGTCCATGGTACACCTCACCCAGCACAGCATACATGAAGTAAATTGGGACCACCAAGGTACTGTGATCTGCACATAGCCCTGCCTCCATGCAGCTATATACACCCCCGCATAACAGAGGCAGTGGGCTGTTTATAAAGAGCAGATAAAACCATCAGTGTGTATTACTACCATAGTTACCGTATTTTGCGGTCCATAAGACGCACCGGACCATAGGACGCAGGGAGGTCTGGCGCGCCTTATGGAGCACTCGACAGACCGTAGCTTCTGTGACAGAAGCTGCAGTTAGTGACCGCTGTGACAGGTGGCGCTGTGATTACAGCACCACGGTCTCAGTGATCACACAGAGCAGACGAAGAAAGTCCGTTCTTCGTCTGCTCTATGGTGATCTTGATCGTCGCTGCTCGGTTTTAATACGAGTGATCTCATTAGATCACTCGTATTAAACGAGCAGTGGCTCCTACTACTCGCCCGCCGCCCGAAACTGCATGTCTCGGGTGTCGGGATTCGCTCCATAAGACGCAGGCACATTTTCCCCCTCATTTTGGGGGGGAAAAAGTGCGTCTTATGGAGCGAAAAATACGGTACTTCTAGGGAGTTATTGTGTGTTATAGAAGGACACTGCGGGTTGTCAGTATCTTGTATTATTACACAGCACTCCATCAGCAATCATGATATCATCTTTTCCATCTTATCATTTACTTCACAGGATCCTTTCCAGTCTGAGGGCTTGTTCACATCACTACGAGTGCGTTCCAGCCCGGTGAACTGCTGGAACGCACTGGATCGCATACTGTAAGGCTCCCTGCGTTCTGGGCCAGTAGGGGGCGTTGTGATGTGGTAGTGCTTGTACTATTTTTTTTTTTCTCGTGATCACATCGGACCAGAACACAGCATTGTTGTGCCACGCATTCTGGTGTGGTCAATCACACCGCCACTCCCACCCTAGAACGCAGGGAGCCTTACAATATGCACTCCAGAGCATTCCAGCCGCTCACAGTGCTGGAACGCGTAGGAAGTGGTATGAACGGGCCCTGAGAATATTCTGATTTTCTGGCAAGTGTCATGTCACCAGCCCTTGTGTGTTTATTGAACAAGCTGGCTAATCCCATAACTGCTAGACAGCCAGGAGAGAGATTGAGAAGAAAACACCAAGAGAGAGAGAGCCAGCCAGGGGAGAGACAGAAAAGAGAGATGGCAAGGAGAGAGAGCCAGGATTGGAAAAGTAGTAAAAACTGTTGAAGCCCAGTTTTTTGGGGTTTTTTTCATTGGTAGATCTAATGTAGCTCGTCATTTGAAAAGTAGATCTCAAATTACAAATATGATGTTATGTTGCAGCCTGATAGTACAGTTGTTTAAATTCTTTTTTTTTCTCTCTTTAAACTACACTCAGTACCCCATAACGACAACGTTTAAAAAGAATTCTGGAAACATCTGTGAATTTATTAAAAAGAAAAAACTGAAATATCACATGTACTTCTTTAGACCCTTTGCAACAACACTTGAAATATAGCTCAGGTACCTCCCATTTCTCTTTATCGTTGATGAGATGTTTCTACACCTGTCGTAAATAAAAGTTGATTGTATACGATTTAAGCTGGCCATACACTTTGCAACCATCTCAATACTTTCATCTTGCGATGGTTGTAAGCTAATTAAAAGCTCGTACGATCTGCCCATCTTGGACAGGCAGATCGAACTTGCCATCATCGCAATCCCGCCACGCTGAGGGGAGGGCTTCCGATGACTGCAACGCTGAGCGGGCAATGTGCGCTTGAACACACCGGCACGTGCGGCATTTGTCTTACGAGCAGGCCACAAACCCTCGGAAAATCTTACGATTTTCGGTTGGTTTTCAAACATGCTCGTAAGACAAAAGACGTGCGACCGTACAGTAGAAACGGTTGCACGCCATACACCTGCCGATTATCGTATGTTCACGCGGTTTCCCGCGATTATCGTACAATAAATCGGCAGGTGTATGGACACCTTTAGAAAGGCACACACCTCTCTGTAGAAGGCCTCACAGCTGACAATGCATACTGTATAGGAGCAAAAGCCATGAGGTCAAAAAGGAACTGCCTGCAGAGCTCAGAGACAGAATTATTGCAAGGCACAGATCTGGGGAAGGGTACAAAAACCTTATGCTGCACTGAAGGTTCCCAAGAGTACAGTGGTCTCCATAATTCTCAAATGGAAGAAGTTTGGCACAACCGGGACTCTTTCAAGAGGTGGTCGCCCGGCCAAACTGAGCAATCGGGGGAGAATTGTCTTCGTAAGAGAGAGGTGAAAAAGAACTCGATGGTCTCTCTGACTGAGCTCCAGAGAATCTAGGTGGATATGGGACAAAGTTCCAGGAGGACAACCATCACTGTAGCCCTCCGCTGATCTGGCCTTTATGGCATAGTGGCTAGAAACACATGAAAGCCCGCTTGGAGTTTGCAAAAAAGCACCTGAAGGACTCTCAGACTGTGCCAAACAAGATTTTCTGGTCTGATGAAACCACGATCGAACTGTTTGGCCTCAATTCTAAACGTTATGTCTGGAGGAAACCAGGCACCGCTCATCACCTGCCCAATACCATCCCAACAGTGAAGCATGGTGGTAGCAACATCATGCTGTGGGGGTGTATTTCAGCAGCAGGGACTGGGAGACTGGTCAGAGTTGAGGGAAAGCTGAATGGCGCAAAGTACAGAGTTATCCTCAATGAAAACTGTTCCACAGCACTCAGGACCTCAGACTGGGCCGAAGGTTCACCTTTGAACATGCCAACGATCCTAAGCACACAGCCAAGACAACACAGTAGTGGCTTAGGGACAACTCTGTGAATGTCCTAGAGTGGCCCAGCCAGAGCCCTGACTTGAACCCTACTAAACATCTCTGGAGAGACCTGAAAATGGCTGTGCACCGCAGTCCCCATCCAACCTGACTGAGCTTGAGAGGATTTGCAAAGAAGAATGACAGAAAATCCCCCAATCCAGGTGTGCAAAGCTTGTCGTGTCATACCCAAAAAGACTTCAGGCTGTAATTGATTCCAAATGTGCTTTAACAAAGTACTGAGTAAAGGGTCTGAATACTTATGTACATGTGATAGTTCAGTATTTTTTTATAAATTCACAGACATTTCTAAAATTCTGTTTTCACATTTTCATTATGGAGTATTGAGTGTAGATTAATGAGAAAAAAAAAAGGATTTAAACAACTAGTATCAGGCTGCAACATAACAAAACTAAAAAGAGTGAAA